CATGGAATACGTTTGATCCTTTTTCAGTCTCCAAGCTGTGAGAGCGTATTACATTCGAGTCTCTCGTCGCTTCGTTTCTTACGTAATTGTATATCCTTCAAACTAAACACAACCATTGTTTCTTCCTTTCTTTATCTTCTTCCTATGATAGCATCCAACGATTTATCTACAATATTTTCTACGTTTTCTGAATTCCGTGATATTTCATTTTGAATCGATAATACATAAATTATTAACTCGTTTAATTTTTCTTATTTTATTTTATATTAGAGTCGTTAAGTTTTATTTATCGATAACCAGTATCATTAAACTTTCGATCTGTCTCCATTTTACATGTAGATCTACGGGAAATATTGTTAATTGGGTTAGGTTTCTAATCTTGAATTTATTCGACAAGTGATAATTTCTAACTGATACGAGAAACAATTTATAGAAAAATTATACTTAATCGATAAATAATTAGCGAGAAAGTTTCTTTATCTTTGTATCTAATTTAATATCTATTAAATGACAATTCAAAAAAAAAAAAAGAATGTTAATTTCGAAGAAAGTATAAAAATTGTACGCCATGTTGGAAGGAAGACATTTTTCCCTATACGATATTATAGCCATCTTTTTACTTAACATAAGTTGAAACTTGTCTGAACTCGTCTGAACATGTCTGAACCTTTGGAAAGAATTGTCGGAGCATCCGAATTTCTTAGAAAACATTTCTCGTTCTTCCGGAGCATCTACGGGTCGCACTTTTGTGCTATTCAAGGCATTTCGAAGAATCACTTAAGAACTCAGCTATTTTCGCTCCCCAGGAGAGCTAAGTATGCTTTTCTTTTCCGCGTTTCTTCGACTTTTTCTAGTTTACGCCTCGCAAACCGCTTCCTGCATCTTAAATTTCATTCTTCTCTTTCCCTTTTTCTGTTTATTTTCTTTTATACTTTTTTTTTTCTCCCTGTCTTATTTATATCTACAAACATTTTATTGTCATACAATCATATACTGCATTCTATTTTATACTAATATGTCTAATTATTCGTATATTGTATTGTATAATTTATTTTATTTTATTTTATTTTATTTTTTAATAAAAGGATCGAAAATTTTCTATAGACCTAATTTTATGTTACATCTTTCTCTTTCTCTTTCCATTTATTTTCTTAACCTTATTCTCGACAGACTTCGAATTCTTATTCGTCATGTAATTTATGATCACTTAAATCATTGTATTCGATTTATCGATCTTACAGCAACCATAATCACACGTGTCCTACTATACCTTATGTATGTAAGAATATACAGTAGAAGAAGAAAATTTCTATCGAATTCTTCGCAAGCCTCGTGAAATTCTTTCTTTTTCTTTTCTTTTTTTTCTCTCGTTTACTTTCACCGCGATTGTTTCCAACGATTCTCTCACATTATATCTTTCAAATCGCTCGTTATAACGCCCGTGCAGAAACATTTTCACTGTAATGATTTTATCGCTACTACCGTGTGTGTAACACACCAAGAGAACCACCGAGAACGTACGTTGTTCGATCGTTAACTTACACAACATTCCTTTTAAATAATTTTACGAAAAATCATTTTCTTTTCGTTATCGTAATAATCATTCGTGCAGTTAATAACACCGAATTCCAAGTTTCTAAGCTACATTAAAAAATATGGTATATATTTATCGAGATTCGATGAAAAACTTTGATTAGAACGAGCTTCGAATTAGAGGTCAAGCGGAACGAGGTCAGGCAAGCAAGTTCTTTTTCTTTTTTTTTTTTTTTGTACTAATTAAAGATATGCAAATTATAAGAAACGCAGAAAGAAAAAAAAAGGAACACAAAAAATAGAAACCGGTTAGATTAGGAAGTAAATTTAGTGGTTCTATTTTTAGTAATTCCAACAATGGCAGTTTAGAATTCCTCGTGGAAAAGCTATCCTGGGATTTACTCGAACATCCCTCGTACAATTTGAACTATCTTTATAGAATAGGGTAACCTAATTGGTTGATCGTTGTTTCTCGATGACGTCATGCTCGGTACTCAAATAGATAAACGTTGAAATAGATGAAATTGATGAAATTTATTTGCGCATCTGCTTGCGTTCCCTAGAGGCCGCCATTTTGGAAATGAAAATAGCACACGGATGGTATCGATGGGGTTGATCGATAGATCACCGATAGATCATCAATAGATAGATAGATAGATAGATAGATTTATAATCTCTGGTAAGATCTTCTCGGGTCAATTCCTTCGTGACATCATCGTCGTATTTGTAGGAACGGCCTCAACGACCTCGCGGCACTCTTGGCAAACGGCGAACAAGGCCGACTACTTCGCCACATGTAACTTTTACTTATTCCGCAGGAGCACCTACGTTTCACTCGCAACGGATCGCGACCGAAAGGAGCATTAATCACCGAGAGCCTTCGACTTAAAGGCAACCTCCTGTCGACGGTATTCGAGTAACTCCGCTTTCAAAGGACATGGAACACTTGTTCAACGAGTTTCATTTCAGTCACATTTTTCGGACTATTTTTTTCCTTACCGTCTTGTTAAGTCATCATGATTTTATTCTTTTAATTATCCCAGAATTAAAAATTAGAAGAAATATGAATAATGAAATAATTCATTTTAGTGACGTTAGAATTTAAGTTGCCATCGTAATCAATGAAAGTTAACAAGACATTGGTCAGTTTAGCAACGTAGAAGAATAGATCTCTAATTCCAAACCCCTATTTCAGCTGGAACTGATCCCTTGGATATCCAGTAAGATACCTGAGTATTTACAATGTTTTGGGTAGTCTAGATTTTCAAAATAATATGTCATAAGCCAGTTGTAAAATCATGGCTATGAAGAGTACATTTAATCCCTTGACAATAATGAACTGCGTAAGATTAGAGGTAAAAGGGTTTATGACAATGCGTATCGGATTGCCGATAGGTGTTCTAATCCCAACTTTTATTTTCTCCTAATCCATTTTTTTTCTTATACTAATATTAATAAAAATACGATGTCCCATATATAGAATCTATGCATATACATAAACCCAGTTTCTCATATTCTGTGAAGAAAACAAATCGATTTTCTGCAGACAAAGAGAAAGACTTTCCGTGTCGGTTCACTGCTTCGAATTATTAAATTTGAGCTAGAGATATATCAGTGAGTTAAAAAAATGTAAGATTTATCGTTGAAATAGACATATATGCGTCTAACGTAATGCAAGTAAATACATACGTACAAAGTTTGAAACCGGTACCCAATAGGGTCCATCGTATACACACGTTCACTGTTTTTCCGAGCTCTAGCAAACGGATTCGCGGCACAACAGCTTGAGATTAATGCGCATGACTTGCCATTTGTAAAAGCTCCGAAGCCGAAGGCGGCATTTGTCGTGCTCTCTCTCTTTCTTTCTCTTGTATTTAGAAACCGGTTAGACCAGATACCGAATATATAAAAGGAAAGACGTTTTAAAGTACTTTCCCGTTAACCAACGTGAAGCGGTGCGTCACATTTACCACTTCTTCTTTTTATTTTTATTTTTCTTTTTCTTTTTCTTTCTTTCTTTGTACATTCTTTTTTATATTATTTTCTTACCCTTTTTATAAGTTTTTTCTTTCTTTCTCCAACTATACCTCTTTTTTCCCTTTTTTCCCTTTTTTGGAATAAGTCATAAACCAATCACCGTCGTTCACCACGACCCTTTTCGACCTCAGCGCACTCTTACGTCGCAAACTTTCTAATATGCCCCACGTGACTTGTCCCATCCGGGACGAGCGCCATTTTCAAACATTTGCCGAGGGAACGTTTCAAACGTGTTGGCTAATCGAGAACTAATCGATCTTAAACGACAACGTCGTTTGGATAGTAACTCTTATAGCTGTCATTTCAATCGACGAGAAAACGAAAGTGGTTTCGTTCTGGAGAAGTCGTTTCGAACAACTTTTTTTACTTATTTCTTCTTTCTTCTTCCTCTCCATTTTCTTTTTCTTCTTTTTTCTCTTTCTCCTTTTCTCCCATTCTTAAGTTATGTCGACACGTAGAAAAAAAAGTTGTGATAAATCACTTTATGAAATACGTGTTACCCCAATCGAGAATAATTCATTTCCTGTGCGAGTTGAGAAAAGAATTTTAAATTAAAAAAGTCAACGCGAGCACGTGGTTAACCTTTAATTCATTATGAATTCGTATACGTGTCGGCCATTTTGTAAAGTTCTTACGTCCATTTACAATTTTTAGTTAGGAATAAGAAAAAACTCTAATTTCCTGGCCAGTTGAGATTTCTGGTTGATTTTTGTTTTAATATCAGAGCTAGAAATCGTAGAAAAATAATTTTATTTAAAAAAAATAATAAATGAGATTATGATTCTGTGTAACCAGAAAAATAAATGACTGCACCGAATTGTGTCGTGACGTTTTTTTAGACGTTCCAAACGATCGGTTCGAAAGTTACTCGTCGAAGAAAGAAATAGAAAGAAATGTTAAACATTCGGTCGCGAGTGATTGGTCAACTGGAAATACAAACAAGCTCTCCAATCATTCTCTTTCTTATCGCACTTATCTTAAACTGGAACTTCGAGAAATGATCTTTCTTTTTTTTTCTCTCTCTTTCTCATTCTGTTTCTATGAGATGATAGTTAACCGAGAGTACCAATTGCACACTTCACGCTCGAGCCGGTACATATTTTACACGACACAAGTTAGCGACTTTCACGTTCGACAAAACGTCCGCAGTAGTCTTTTCTAACTAACGACCACGATTTACAATCGTAATATAAATGCATTACTCTGAATGATACATTTCAAACTGGATTCTTGTTATTTTTTTTTAATCTCAGACAAGTGATTTAAAAAATTAAAATAGAAAATCTAATTTTAATTCAATATTTTGTCATTTTTTTTTTTTTTTTATAACAAAAACGGATTCATTTTTATTCATATTCTTGATTATTATGCAGGAGGGTATCTCAATCCTTCTCAATCTAAAATTAAATAAATTTCTATTCTGATTTCAGATTTGAAATAACTTACGGAACAAAGCTAGAGGAGAACAAAAATTTCGAAAGATATTTCATCATTTTTCGGTGAAACTCGGAAACAAGGGCGAGAAGACACGTGACGTATTTCCGGAAGAAAGCACAAAAGGGAAACCTGGAAGAAGCGAAAATGGGTGAGAAACGTGGTACGAAAGCTCTCGAGCTCTGGTGCAGACGAATAACCGAGGGTTATCCGGGTGTAAACGTACAGAACATGACCACCTCCTGGCGAGATGGACTTGCATTTTGCGCCATGATTCATCACTTTCGTCCCGACCTCATGTGAGTATAACACCTTCATGAAAATAACATTTTCCTATCTCGGTAATCTTTCCGCTAAACGATTTCTGTCGTCAAATTCGAGATCTCGCATCAAATAAAACAAAAATAAACAACGTCATTTCGATAAAGTATTCGAATTATTGACAATTAATAACAAATAACAATGAATAATTTATTGCAACAATTAAGAGGGAAATCTGTGAAAAAAGAAAGAAAAACACTTATCGAAATTTCGATTAAGGGTCAAGCAGAAATCACAGTAACGAAATGAAATGCCGTATCATCGGTATAATCGTAGTCGTAAAATTGTCGATCGCGTATGGCTAACTACCAAACGGATTACCCCCACTGTTGGACTGTCGATGATTCATCCACTTTCGTGCTGACCTCGTACGTTTGTGTTACGATGACCCTGACTACTGTCTTGGTTGGAGGACGAGTCAGCAACCGCATGATGTGCAAAATGCAGAACGGCTTCGACCTTTCCTGTAGGAGCACATTATTGAGCTATATAGTATGCCAACACCTTTTACGACCTGATAAGAAACCTAAAGCTTGTTTTCCGAGACTCTTTCCAAACGATCTTATGCATCATTCACTTCTATTTTTATGTCGGATAGATAATATCTCGAGAAAGAGAGTGTCGTATTTGTTCCGGGAAAGATTGATCGACGTCTATGTTTTATTGAAAATTCAAAATGGCGATCCTAACCTCGAAGACATTCGTATCTTTAGCGTTCCGAGTAAATATATAAATAAAAAGAACAGAACGAAGTATTGCAGCTGTTTAAAAGAACAATGGATTCCTTTCGAGGTTGTTATCTAATTTAGCGCTCTTATATCACATGAAATATAAACACGAGGGTGAGTCAATAATTATGTTCAATGTAATGGCGTTCTTTCGTGTGTTGACTGTACTATCTAACTACTATCCCGTATTAATATTTGCATTCTTCCTTCTATGTCGACTCTACCGTTCTCAACAGAGGCCAACTAGACAGAGACCTTCAGTCACTGTCCTAAAAACTCCCTAGAAACTTTTCGGTGGATTATGACCAATGTTCTTTTTGGTTAACACACAAAGCGAAGTGGTTATTGTTAATGTCACGATAAACAAAATGTAACCAAGCCGAGCATTGTTCAAACCTGTCCAGCCTTAGTAACAGGAAAAGCTCAAATATAAATACAAGAGCACACTCGACTATATAGCCAACACACAAAAAATAGCATCACATTGCGGATAATTATTGACTCACCCTCTCGAGTAAATAAATCATGAAAGTGGTCTATCGATCACTTTCGTATTCTTTTTTATGGGGATGATGAAAATAAGAGAAAGAGAGATAGAAAGAGACAGATCGATACTATAGCCTACAGCATGACGACTTTAGGGCGCCTCCGGTCACTGACATTCGAACTCGACTTCTTCTATTATTTGCTAGTTTCCTTTTATTTCCTTGACTCTACTGTTTTTTCCTATCTACATCAATCAAATGTACTATACCCACCATGTCGTAATTCGAAAGTTCATAGTTCACGTATTACACGTTCGCAAAATGCAGAAAAAAATATCAACTGGGAAACAAGAAATTAAGTTAACGGCGTACGTTAATTAGAAACCGTTTACACGATTTACAAATGGTTTGAATATTTTTGTTCAGATTTTCCAATCAATGTCCAGCAGAAATTCAATTGGTCTTTGGTCGATATTGTCTCTATATTTCTCTCTTTCACATATCCTCCATGCATCCATGCACGTGTGCACACACGGCTAGTCCAGACAGTGGAATTCTATCGAGGAAATTTCAATTTCCTGAATCTAATCGTTAGAAAGCAAACGGATATCCTTCGTATTGCGTGTTCGGGCATTCGTTTTCTGGTCGATAAAAAAATTTTTTACCCGTTGGGTTTCCTCTGTGTTACACTTTTTTTCGACAACGAAATGAATTTTCCTTTTTTTTTTTTCCTTTCTCAAACCCTTGATTCAGTTTGTTCTTTTTGTGGTTCTTTGAAGCCCAATCAATGGTGGACCAAAATGTGGGAGAGTAATATTTTTCGATGGCAGGTTTTGCGAGAGTTAGGGTTCAGCTTGAACAGCAAGATTTATTTCTTCTCAATTATTCATGAAGTACGCGAAGAGATATTAAACGAAGAAAAAGAAAAAGAAAAAAAAAACAAAGAAACAAAATTCTTTAGGAACTTTTTGGCTACCTTACAAATGTTTTTTAGTTCATATTCCGACAGAGTGATGAGTCTGTTGTTCCCCCATCGTTCGAATAGAAATAACGGGTTATTCTTTTTTTTTATATATATATATATATATATACCGAAAAGAATTCGAAAATCGTTTTGCATTTATAGGAATAGAAATCGTTCCTATGATAAATGGAATTCATTCGTAAAAATATAGGATTGATCGTATCATCTCTAGTAGAATTTAAAAACCATATATATATATATATATGTATATATGTTCTTTTTGGTTGCTGTATGAAAATAAAACGAGGAACACGTTTGACATAACGAGATTGTAATCCGTAACATAAATCTATGACATAGAAGGCGGGACTATGAACTACGCCTTCGACTATGCGGCTACCTTAGATCACGCTAACGTTAAATCGCATGACTAACGATCTATATTCTTGCTTTCGCTATTCGTAAATTATCGTCCTTATTCTACGTAAGCTACGTAAGCTTAAAATTATTATTACGTTTTTTAGGATACGTGCGTGTACGCGAGTGCAGTCTTAAGAAGAAAAAAAAAAAAAAAAAAGAAATCTTTTGAATTTAAATTAATTAAAATATTTTTTATGTCTACGTTCACAAGTATTACAAACTACATGCGTTAAAAAAAAAAACAAAACATTTTCGGACCTAAATTTGTACAAACTTTTTTTTTCTACTTACTCGACCTAATTAACATAGAGTACAAGTTTGGCTTCAACCTTTTTGTTTTCTTTTTTTTTTTTTTTTTCTTTTTTCTTCATTTAAAAAAAAATTTTCTTTTTTCTTTTTAAATATCCTGTATATAAATCGTATAACCCAGTTTACGGAGAGAATATAAAATAAAATTATCCGTGAGGCGCGTTTGCCGTTGTCGAGGTTTACCAAAAAAATGAGAAAGGAATTTGTCGCTATCGTTTTTCACCCTAGTACGTACCCACCTCATTCCGCTTTTGTAATCGATCGGGAAACAGAGCATGATGAGAGGAGCGCACCCCTCAATGATCAAGGGAGGAAAATGTTCTACAATCTATGCGCATGCGCGAACACGCTTTCGCCAAATCTCTTCTCCGATTTCTTTTGCTTCTGTGTTGATTAATGGTTTTTTCCTTGGGGGAACAAACAAAATTTATCGCCGTACTCCATTGTTCTTGTATTATTTTCAACGATGGTTTATTTTTTTTTATTCTCCCATCCTAGTTTTATTTTATATTTCTTTTGTTTTTCGTAGTTTTTATTATGAAATCAAAAAAAAAAAAAAAGAAACGAAGGATACAGGTTATAAATTGATTCAATCATTTTTATTTTTATGCGTATGGTGATCGAATTTTCTTTTTTTTTTTTTTTTTTTTTCAATTTTAAACCAATTTATACGCGTAATGATGATTTTTTTATGGTTTAAATTATTTATGAAATTAGTTACACAATATAGTATTTCGTATTTCGTTTGGGCAATCCTCGAGATGACCTTTGAATTTCACCGCTCAAAGGTTCCCGCCTTTTTCTGATCCAACGATCTGGCGTCTACGATTGGTAAGAAGGAACACCTGTTTGGTGTTTCACTTTCACCGGTGGGAGGGGGAAGCCCGTTCTTTGAGGAAATTCTCACGCGATTCTCTTTCTTCCTGAATCCCTCTTCGCAAGTTGACTCTCCGACGTATAATCTGATGTCTTCATCTCTCGGAACGATCTCACTTTCGAATTTATCCTTGTCCTTGGAAAATAACACAATTTGGTCGTATTTTATAAAAAAAAAAAAAGAAAAAAAAAGAAAAGTGGGCTAAAACATCGTTCGAATTAATTCAAATACTATATATAACCATCTTACGTTTCCTTTTTAATTTTATGAAACAGAAAAAAAAAGAATTTCCTAACGAAATAACGAATACCAATCGTCATTTGAGATAAGTAATCAACTTTATTCTCTTGTTTTCCAACAAATAAAATGAACACATACCAATTTCCATGTACAATATAAACGTATAATCGAAATTCAAAATTAAGATCCCGAAGAGGTTAAAATCGAACGCGTTATCGGTTTCTGTGCTGGGATTATTGGAAGCTGAGAAGAAAAATGGCGGCCAGAAAAAGAAGATGCAGCTAAAGAGAAAAAGAGAGAAGAACTTTTTGCTCGAGCAATAAACGACAAGAAAAACGATAGAGAGATAGGGTTATGGCACAAAGGGGTGAGGGAGAGGGAGAAGGAAAAGGTGGAGGTGATGGTGGTGGTGTAAGGGAAAGGGGGGTTCGGGGTGGGTGTGGCGGCACCGGTCTGCTGGACCTCTGAGTCATCGTCTTTCGTCTTTCGTCCCAGACAAGCACGTTCGGGTCGATTGCCAAGAGTCGAAGAGCCGGTTATGCTTGCTACGCACACATGCACACACACATATAATACACAACATATGTATAAATGAGATATAGCTACTCCTACATGTGTACAAGTGAGTCGTGTTTTCGTGTGTATGTGTATTCTCTATATCAGAGAAATTACTCGTCTCTCTGTTCTTCTTCCTCCTCCTCCTCTTCTTCTTCTTCTTCTTCTTCTTCTTCTTCTTCTTCTTCTTCTCGTAACCATTCACCGATCCCACGAACGCTACTTGAATGCGATATCCTTCGCAAACGTTCCTGATTTCAAGCTTAACCTTTTGTATTCTTTACATTTCCTTTCTTTATTTCTTCATTCCCTTATTTCCTTTGTATGGAAATATGATTAAGAATTTTCTATACTGATATTTTATTATTCGAAAAAAAAAACAACGCGTGTATATATTATATGGAGGAGCGTGATCTTTACCGGAAGTTGATGTTATTGAAGATTATTGGTGAATCAAATGAATAGTTAAATAGCATTCATTATAGTTTTAATTATTTCGTTATGGCATGCTTTCGCGAGAGTTTCCTTCGAAGGAATTTGTTATATCCTAATATTATTGAATATACTATACATATATATTAATATAAAATATTATTATTTGGTTGGCCATTATTATAAAATAATAGAGTATTCTTTGTTCGAATATAAAATACGATAATTATTATTTAACAAAATTAATTATCCAAACCAATGAATATTTGGCGTATAAATATTTTCTACAAACGTATAAAACGACGATCCGATTAGCAATAAACGTTCTAAACAATAAGCGAGAATCGCAGAATATTTTCATTCTCGAAAGGTCAGCTTTAGTTTCAATATCGTCGGAAAGCTGTTTCAGCATGACAAGTACGCGCTTTGCGTCGGAATTCGAGCGTTATAGTCGATCTCCTCCTGTCCCCCTTCCCTCCCCCATCCTCTCCCCTCCCTATTCCCCTTTCTACGTTTCCATCGTTTTCATATGGAGGAAGAGGAAGAAGAGAAAAAGGAGAAGAGAGGAGAATGGGGTGGGGAAGGGGTTGGGGGGGATTGGGTGGGTGGGGTTGGGGTTGGAGTTAGAGGAGTCATAAAAACGGTCGGAAAAATTTTTGATAGGAAGATGCGACCGTGTCGTGTAGGAGCGAGGTCAAGTGCCAATGTCGAATGTCCTGACGACTTTCGACCTAGAATTTCATGCTCGTTGCTCGGAATGACGAGTAATAAGCCGACGGTAGCGCGTATATGCATATCGATTTGCTGAAAATAGAAACGTTTTTGGTATAAGGATAACCCTTCCTTTTGGGGAAAATAAAATAAAAAAGAAATTCAAAAAAATTATATTTTACATACACATAGTTCAGTTGGTCGTTCGATATCTTCTCCTTTTTTTTTTTTATAATTTCAAATGGTTTTTAATGAAATTATTAATGAATTATCGATTAACGTGTTATCAGAAGACATTGAAATCTAATTTTATCCAACTGATTTTTCGACAATACGTGAAAGAGAGGAAACCAATAACCGATATCCGCTCCTGTTCTTCGAATTCTATCCTCGATTTTGACAAATCGCGTATTCACCAGTTTACATCGAAACTGATCGATGTTGCATTCTACGAACAAGCCCGCATTGATTTCTATGCATCTTTCAGTAACGTTAAGGCTTCCTTTTTTATTATAGCCTTTGTTAGGAACAAGTTTCTTTTGACCCTGCTGGTAGTAGTATCTACGTAGTAATAAATCGTCTTGTTCGTTTGCCTTTTTTTCCCCCCTATAAAATATGCGCGCTTTTTTTTTTTTGTTAATCCTCGAAATCGTTGATATGACGCGTCTTTTGAGTAGCACCCTTTTATTAACAACTTTAATACGACGATTTCATACCGATATTACGTTCGAGTTTTAGCCAATCTTTGTTGACAGTGTCAGAAATATCTTTGAGTTAGGGGTGGACTTGTGGTTATTACTTCAGCTACGATTGCTTTTGGGGACAAATTTTGGGAAAAAACGTCATCTCGAAAATTCATGTATCCAAGGAAAAATAAATTTTCACATATTTATTATTTTAATATTATTTAATGATGATGATAATAATAATAATAATAATAATAATAATACTAATAATAATTAAAAAACAAAAGATTAAATGTTAATTATTAATTGTTGAAAGCTTCGGATAAAACTCCATTTGCACGGCACGACAGCGACGTCAATGACGTTAACGTCGTTAATGAATATAACCTTGATCTCAATCTCTTTTTTTTTTTCTTTTTTCCTTCTTCCTTTTTCTTCTTTTTTTTTTTTTTTCTTTTTCTTTTTCTTTTTCTTCCTTTTTCTTCCTTTTTCTTAACCTTTTGTCTTTATTTCGCAGCGATTTCAACAGCCTTAACAAGGACGACGTCTACGGGAACAACGAGCTGGCATTCAGAATTGCCGAGCAGCATTTAGGAATCCCCGCTCTTTTAGACGCCGAAGATATGGCTTCCTGTTCCATACCCGATCGATTATCGATTCTAACCTATCTTTCGCAGTTCTATCAAACCTTCAAAGGTAAGCAATAATCTATGACTAACAAAATTGTAACTAACAAAATTATTGTTTGAATTACTTAAAAATCTTTCAAATGGCAGTTTCTTTAATGTTGCAGTGTTCATTGTTCATAAATATTTAGCAAATTATTTCTTGGAAGTAAACTAATAAGTTTTAAAATGGAGCTTGGAGAGATGCCATCTTGTTTAAATTCTTCTTGTTGATTGGTTCTTTGATTTTATTTTGATATACACATCATATTTACATTTAATCATCTTGACTAATTTGCACGCGAGATTTATTTCCTCAATCGAGTAACAACTAATCACGAATCTTTTATTTGCGTATATAGACGGAAGAAATATGGACGAAGTTTTCAATATAAACGAATCAAAAGTGAAGAAAACAGGATACAGAAAATAGAAACGGGATGGAAAATTGGAAGTATATTCGAAGATATACCGAGGAGGTGTTGTTCATGATTGTTTTGCTTTTGAATTTATCTTCTTAAGTTTTACAAACGGAAAATTGTTCCTACTACTACTACTACTACTATTACTAACTCTCTCTCTTTCTCAGTCGAGAATAGGATTATATTATTTTCCTTACAGTGTAAACAAAAGATACTTGCAAACAAGTTCATACAGTTAACATCTTCAAGGAACCCGTTTTAATGATATTTTATAAATGTTAGAAGTTGTTCTTGGCTACTAACGAATAGAAAATTTCTCTCTTTTGCGAATCTGTTCAACCAATTATACTGTTTCCTCTATTCTTAATTCATGTCGTAAATTCAATTCGTATGATAAAAAAGTATTAAACGCATCATGTCGATTAGTTTCATTTAATTAATTCTCAATTAATTTTGTATGAATTGTAAAAACTAGAAAATTGTTTTTTAAAACGATTGATCCGTGCACGGCATAAATATTTCAAATTAATATCCATGGAGTATTATTTTCTTGCACGCGTGCGTATCTCCTTGGGAGTGAGAAATCGAGTTGTAGATCCGTCACGTGCAATTTTAGTGGTAGACCATTCGCGGTTGGTGTTGCACGTCCGATCGACGGACGTGACGTTTCAAACGTCACATTGAGTTAACGTCTTGTCGTTACTAAATAGGCCAAATAGGTTGCAGCATTCCAGGAGAGTAAGAGCGAGAGAGAGAGAGAGAGAGAGAGAGAGAGAGAGAGAGAGAGAGAGAAACGTTGCGTGTATCCATACATCTTTCATTATACAGGATGCTTCGCATAATTTCATTACTTATCTTCGTTGTTTTTTTATTATAAAAGCAAAACCAATATCAAAGGATATAATTTTTGTAGAGAAAAGGGACAATATTTATAACACTTTTTTACTTTTTACCACAATTTTAGAATGTTTTTACTAAAAAAAAAAATAATTGTTAGTTTTGTGTCTACCGATTACTGCATGATAAGGAAAAAATTAAGTATAAGTTACATTTATCATAATATAATTACGATATGGTACAAATTATACTATAAGTTTAACATTATACAATTTAATTTTATTTTATTTCTTTTTTATTTTTTTTTTTGATACAAAACAAAATTAATTTAAAACTAGTTAACGTATTAATATTCTTCGTTATTAAATATTTTCATTTTCTTCGAATCCCATATTTAACGTTTAATATTATATTATTTAATTTTTCATTAACGTTTACTTTATAGAATTAAATTTATTTTTCATAGAAATATGACAGTACTTTCACGGTATACACACAGTTTTAAGTAGAACGTCGTTAAATTACTCGCTTACTTTCTTCCTTTTCACGATCCACTGGAGAACCATGTGTGTATACGTGTACACGTATATGTATGTTGAGTGTGCAACTGTTGCATTGTTTCGTAGATTGACGTCTCATACAGTTTCCTTCGTCGTTAAGATTAATCCGTCGTCGTTCTCTCTTGAATCAACTCGTTGGAGATAATGAACGCCACGGAGAGAAAAGAAAAGAATACCTTTCTCGTTCTTGTTTCGTACGGAAGTATGCGTCAAAATCACCAACGAAGAAGATAATAATCGGGAAAGACAAAACATACTCCGAAGGAATTAATTACTCCGATTTTTTTCTTTTTTTTTTCCACTTTCTCATATTCAATCGTGGAAAGAAAAGGAAACAAATTATTTCGTACGTTTGAAAGTATGGGAATATCGAAAGTTTTATCGAACGATGAACGGTCTTCTTTCGATTTTCTTTATTTTCTTTTTTTTTTTTGTTCTTTATAATTTTTATGTTATATTAGATTAATTCACAAAGTTGTCAGTATTTTTTCTTTTTTTAATAAAAAAATTATATCGTAACATTTATGCAATTTTGTGCACTTGTTAAAAATAATAATAAAATATTTATATGTGTTGTCGATCGTTTGTTTTACAAAATGCTGAAAGAATAAAAAAATATTTATTCTTTATTTATTTATTTATTTATTCATTTATTATAATCATTTAAGGGGTTACATGGGTTTACACCGAGAAAAAATAGCATATTTTCAACAATTTTTTTTTTTATATATAAAAAATGGAATTCTTATTCAAACTTTTTATAGTATTTAAGATACATATTTAAAGAAGATTTTCTGAATTTTTGATTGAAAAATATTTTAAACTCAGCCATTGCGACGTCATTTCCGGTGACCCTACCGAAAAAAAGTGTTTTCGCGTTGACAGCAGAACTTATAAACGGTGGGGGTTTTTCTGTTGAAAAAATAGGGTCTTTTAGTGAATATTAAAACTAGAAACTGGACGAAGGAAAGAGAAAAAAATTAAAATTTGGATTTTTGGTAACGTTTTTAGCAAGAACATTCAAATTTCGCTATAATTCGCACCACATTGTGGTTTCTTAAAATTCGATTTTTTGAAAAAAAGGAAAATCCTTCGTCCAAGTCCTTGTCAATAGTATCACGAAGACGTGTTGCAAGTTTCATTAAAATCGGTTTAATAGTTTTCGAGAAATCTTGACAACCGACTTTAGAAAAAGCGTTTTGAAAAAAACGCGTTTAAAGATTTGAGTGCTGGTATAAGAGCCATTAAAGAGTGCAACTTCCCAGGGCTCTATCTTTAAAACTACTACTTCTATCGACTTCAAAATTGAATACAATATTCTAGATGAGTTGTAGAATTGAAAAAAAAATAAAAAAAAAAAAATTTTTTTGAAAGTCCCAAACCCATGTAACCCCTTAAGGAAGTAAATAAATTTCGATCCTTCGAAAGTTTTCTCGCAAAAAGGCGTCTTTTCATCTAAAGAAATAAAACTTGCTTCTTGACTTACTAATAAGCTCGTGGTAAATAAAGTTGTTGAGAGAGAGAGTGAGAGAGAAAATCTTTATGGAGTCCTTCCTTGATGATAATTAAGTCTTTATTAGTATTGATGTATATCTGTGCGTGTGTATGCTTAATTGTATTGAGACATCATATACGACGACCTTAAAAGCTTGAACTGCCACTTGTTGAGTTCTTCACAGATTTCTATTCATTTATTTGAATTTCTCTCTCTCTCTCTCTTTTTTTTCTGTCTATCTTTATTTCTCTTTTTATTTGCTGTTAGATTCGAGACTATTTATGCATTTAGTTTAAACGATACAAAGCATTTTGTAGATACTTGTTGAATTGTCTTGTCATTATCGTACTAGATTATGAAATTTTCATAATGTTCTCTCTCTCTCTCTCTCTCTCTCTCTCTCTCTCTCTCTCTCTTTCTCACTTTTTTTTTTTTTTTCTATTTTTTTTTTCTATTGGGGACAGGAAAACGCAACTATGTATTATTTTCAATATCACAATCCAGTTTCCTCTATGTGTTCTGTGTGAATNCTGTTAGATTCGAGACTATTTATGCATTTAGTTTAAACGATACAAAGCATTTTGTAGATACTTGTTGAATTGTCTTGTCATTATCGTACTAGATTCACCTGTTTGCACTCTCGTCTCTCTCTCTCTCTCTCTCTCTCTCTCTCTCTCTCTCTCTCTCTCTCTCTCTCTCTCTCCTTCTCACTCTTTTGCTTTCGTTCTATTTTTTTTTTTTCTATTGGGGACAGGAAAACGCAACTATGTATTATTTTCAATATCACAATCCAGTTTCCTCTATGTGTTCTGTGTGAATGACGAGAATAACGATGACAAAGCTAGGTCAAATGAAATTTCCAACCTGTCAGAATTTATGAGTAATTGCGAAACTCAGCTGGCAGTCGAGAGTACACGCATACTTTTAAGATTTGCTATTAATATATTGCTATATGTTAGAAGAGCATGCTGTCATTATGAGTATTAAGAGAAAAGAAAAAAACAAGTAGACATTTGGAAATTGTGTTCTTGTGTGATTTGTGCTTTTGTGTGTGTGTGTGTGTGTGTGTTAGTGTGTTTAAGAGAGTGTGAACGTTTCGGATCGTTAAAAGATCGTTTATTATTTTACTGACATTTACTTATATTTATTACCATTGTTTCACCACGTTTCACTGTTATTATACAACAGATGTGTTCCAAATGAATTAATAATTATTCAATGGGAATTACCATTCTATCTGTTATTCAATAATCAAGAAATTTCATTTAACGTTTTGAAAAAGAAGTATATATACTAGTATTTCTTTTCAAGAATATCAAGCTTATGATCATTATTCGACAATTTTAGAAATATTTAACAATGTTTATCTCTATATCGTCATAACTTTCTTTACTGTTAATATGCGACAACTGTTGCACATGAAAAAATTACGAATGATTTAACTCGATAAACATTCTTTTCGTTATTTTAAGATAAATGAAACTCAAACTTCCGGTTTAAGAAAGTAAAAGAATCACATTCGCGATAAAATAATCAATGATAATATAATCGAATAAAAAATACTGACGAATTTTTCACAATGAATAACAATTAATAACATAAAATTGAATAAAATATATTAACAAATGTTTCGTATATTTATTTCAGGATCATCTCCTAGCCGTTTAGCGACGAACAGAACAGTCGAAACAACGGAAGAAAGAATCGCCCCGGTTCCAGAATCACCAAAAGCCAAGGTATCGATGCTGCAACATTTTCAAATAATGCTATTATTAAAAATCAAAGCATTAGAATTTAAAAAAAAAAATAACAAAAAAACTCACTATAGCTGATAGGGGGGGGGGGAATGAAACAAAAATTAGGAAAAACTTTCGCTTTTCGTAACTTTTCTTTTGCCGACTTTATTTTCTTCATCTATTATATTTATTTTTCTTCTTCTTAATTAATATTCATTATTTGATATTCCGTAGTTGTTGTTATTATCATTATTATTATTATTATTATTATTATTATTATTATTATTATTATTATTATAATATTGTTGTTGTTGTTATTATTGTTATTGTTGCTCAGCAGCAGGCTTATGGAGCTCTCATTTTTAAAGCTTTCGATCAAAGCGTTTGTCAAAGATGCTACATTTTTTTTTTTCTATTCTATCCCCTTTTTTTCATCGAGCTTTTTAATCATTGAGCATGGGGTGCTTAAATTTTGCGAACAAATTTTTTAAAAAATTTATATATATATATATATATACTTATTCTTTTTTCTCGTTTTTATTTTTATATAACGATTAAAAAAATGTATATTCTTCAAATGAAATCGCAATATTTTAGCATATTCTGCGTTACACGTTCATTGCGAAATTCGTTGTAGAGACGCGATTCATTGTCATTCGTCATAACGATCATGAGCTAAAAAAAAGTATCCTAAAAATTCAAACACAATTTTACGTTTTAACGATACTCTGGAAAAGAATCATTGCTATTATACGCTGCTGCTTTTTTTTTTTTTTTTTTAAATATCGTAGCTTTCTTTTTCAATAATTATTATTTAAATAGAAATGTCATCTCTCTCCTAGGAGGAATAAAAAAAGGCGGAGGATATATTGTCACGTGAACCGAGATAAATTTTCAATGGCGATCGTTCCTTTCTGTTAATCAAATCTTCTTCTTCTACTTCTTCTTTTTTTATTTTATTTTCATTAAAAAGTTTCTTTTTTGTCTCATCACTTTATTTCCTCAATTTTTCCTATCTCACTTTTTGCCAGTTTCATTTTCTTCCCGTTTACTTTTACGTTTCTTCTTTTCATCTTCGTCCCTTGTTTTTTCCCCACTTCTCTCTTTCCATAAATTTTTGTCATTCTCATTTTGCGTTCTTGTTTTTCTCTGTTTTCTTTTTTTTTTTTTTTCTTTTTCTACTTTTCTTTAATTTACTTTTTTTTCTTTTTCATTTTCTTCCATTTGTTTTTCTCTCGTTCCAGTTTTTTTTTTGTTCTTTTCCCACATCCTTTCCTTGTACTTTCCCCGATCATCGTATCACTTTTTTTCGATCGATCGATCGTTTTACAAAAAGGCGCGCCATTCGTATTTCTGTTCTTACACCTTTTTCTCCTTCTTCTTCTTCTTATTTTTCTTGTACATCGGTGTTTCGCAATCAACTGCGTTCCGGCATTCGAAGAGGATCCTCTTAAGAATCTTCACGATAAATACACACATATATAGGTCATTGACTGGCGCACCTCGATGATGATGATGATGATGATACATCCGTCTCTCTCTCTCTCTCTCTCTCTTTGTTTCTTTTTTCTTCTCTTTCTCTTTTACTTCAGTTACCCGCAAAAGTTCCTTCGAAAGGAAAAAACAACACTACGCGTTTGTATATTGTGAAGTAAAATACAACATACGTTCCTCATCGTATGCAGTTTACCTTGACATCGACTCGCCAGATTCCTCCTGTAACCGTTGCAACAACAAAATACCATCAACCACGATGCACTTTTGCATAATTTGTCATTTATTTACCTCTTTTTCTCTCACGTTCGAACTATACATCGTCAACGGCACGATACAATTTCACGTGGCTCCCCGGTAGGGGGATAAATTGGAATTTCAGTTGTCAATGCAACGTTGAAATATTTGGTTTCGTATCGAAATTCCTTTTTTTTATATCCTTTCGTTTCAAATATCGGAATTAATATTTAACTTGCAATTGTTTGGTATTGCAATAATGAGTTTTTAAAAAATTGATTTAAGGATTTTAGGGGCCCCCAGGCAATTGCCCTTTTGCCCTCATAGGATAAGGCACCGTTGTTTGTACCTCTCAGAAATACGTCGTACATTTTAGATTTCTCTCCTTCTATCTTTCTTTGATCGTTAATGAGCAATCAAAGGCCGAGGTAACGCGATAAAAGACTATTAAAATAGGTACACTGTCGATCATCGTAAAACGATAATGAATAACTACTTTCGAAAATGTGCCAACGGGTTTTCTACCCAAACGAAAACACCGTACTTAACTTCATTTTGTCGATTCATTCTGCCCGCGTGTCGTCTCGTAATATTTCTTTAACATAAGAAAAAGAAACAATGATGAGTCTTCAACGGAACCGTTACCTTTATGCATGAGTTGCATAAAAATAATTATTCTATGTTAAAATAGCTAATATTTGTTATTTATATACGCGCTGGTAATTATGAAAGTGGACAAACTTAAACAATAGAATAAACATTAATTTTATTATCTATATTTGTATATGAAATTTTTGTTTTATATATAATATTTTTTTACTTACAATTAATTCACCTTCGTAATTACCACAAATCTTTTTCACCCGTTTGCGAGCTAATTCAAGTTCTTAGGTGAACAAAAATAATAATAATAATAATAGAAATAAATTGATTCTACGATTACACGTAAAAATATAACGATCATTTCTATTAAATAAATAAATAAATAAAGCAAAATTAAAAAAAGCTCGTAGAAATATATCGGATGATTCGAAATGAAAGAAAAATTGCACAAAAAAAGAAAAATATGTTTAATTATTATCATTTATTATTTCAAATAGAAAAACACATATCATATAGGAATTTATCCTCCGAACTGTACAACGCTTCGTGTATCGTTATCTTATCGGAATATGGAAAATGGGACATACATTGTTGCCTCGAAGGATTTATATAATTTTTACCGTTGGCCATTGTCAAAATGACTCATCGTTTCCTCGCAAAACGTGACTCTTCCATGTCCACGTTTTCTGTCCTCGTTATAATAATCGTAGTCGTCGTTGTCGTCGTCGTCTACGTCTTCGTTGTCGTTGTCGTTAATATTAACGTTATTTGTTGTTACCATTTTCTTGTCGTTGTTGTTTTATACAGGAAACAAATTTCAGTCTATCAAAAAAACCAAAAAAAGAAACAAAACTTACGAACGCGAATCGCGAGTGGTGGACCGGTGGACCATTCCATTCTTTCTATTGGAAACACGTGTTAACTCCTCTCTCACCGTTTATTTTTGTTCCCCAGGAGGAAAGCTTGGACTTAATGGGGCAATATAAACCTGAAATATTCTGCTAGAAGGTAATTCGCTTTGTCGTTTATTGTTTTGTTGCTTGTATCTTTATCCTTTTTTTCTTATTTTCTTTTTCCTTTATCTTTTTTTTCTTTTTTTTTTTTTTTATATTTGAGTGATTGTTTTGAGTTAATTCCTCTCGACGTCTAACAGGATCGTTCGTTTGTATGCTTTTATTTATTCTTATCTTTTTTCTTATTTTACCCTCTTTACTTTTTTCTCTTCTCTCNTTAATGGGGCAATATAAACCTGAAATATTCTGCTAGAAGGTAATTCGCTTTGTCGTTTATTGTTTTGTTGCTTGTATCTTTATCCTTTTTTTCTTTTTTTTTTTTTTTTTTTTTTTTTTTTTTTTTTTTTTTTTTTTTTTTTTTTTTTTTTTGGTATTTGTTTGTTGTAATTAGTTTTGGTTGTTTTTGGGGATATTATTCTTGCATGCTTTTATTTATTCTTATCTTTTTTCTTATTTTACCCTCTTTACTTTTTTCTCTTCTCTCTTTTTTTTTTTTTTTATATCTTCATTTTCTTTTTCATTGTGCTCTGATTCTGCATGACTTACCAATAACATTGCAAAATTAATCCCCATTTCCGTGTAACGTTCCATTACATCTTTCGCTTTTACACTTTACTTTTTTTTTTTTTTTTCTTTTCTTAAAATTATTTATTTGTTTTATTATACGATTAGGCTCAACGAGATTTTTTATTTGCTCATTTTCTATAAACTTTTTTTTACCTTATTAGAAAGGATTAAAAATTGAAATTAGGTCATGTTTGTATACACAATACACGTATATAATAATAATGAAAAAGTTTCTACCTTTCTCTCTCCCCGTCTTTATCTCTTTAGTCTATTTTATTTCCTTTTTCTGTTTTTGTTTTTTCTCGTTAAGTAAGCGAATGTAAAATGATTTACATGTTTACCTTTTAATTTTCTTTTTAATATAAAACCTGTATGTACATTATGTAATTAGAAATATCTCAATACCGTTTTCTGAAATGAATTATCGAATAGAATCGTTTGAATTTGTGAATACATGTAAATTATACTTTGTTTTCCCTATATTCAATTCTGTATTTACGTTTTGCATTTGCCAACGATGATTGAAAAATAATATTCTATGATATAAGAAATCTTTAATCAAAGAAATAATCGTACGAGATTTTAAATATACGCAAATCGTTAAGGATTTTGTTCTGTTAAATGAAATGATTTTTAACACTTTTAGTAAACTGCAAGTTTCAAAATGAAAGTAACATTTTATTTCATACGATATAAATTTACTTATGTATCACGTAGTACCACAGCATTATCCAGTAACTTTCAAACGATATACTAATATGGGTAGAGCCAAATTGACAGAACACCGATTGTTTTTAAATTCTTTACAATTGTATGGGTCCATCAAAAAACCATGGACTATATGCAAGCAGTAAAATTCAATGCTCAATATTCAATTGTATCTAAGAAAACAAAGAAAAACGTTTTATATGCATCCCTACATACCATTTCGTTTCATGTTAGATGGAAAAATGCATTTTTTATAGTTTAACATAAAAACAAGAAGTTACAGAAAAAATATATATGGGTGAGTTGAAAACTTGTGAGCCTAACACGAAGAGGGCTGAAAAGTTTTCAATTTACAACGAGAAGGGATGAAAAATTTTGAGCCTAATACGAGATAGGTTGAAAAGTTTTGAGCTTACTACGAAAACTGCTGATAAGTGTTTTTTAGCTTACCACGATGTGGAAAACTATAAATCTTGGAAAACTTTTCAGCCCTCTTCGTGTTAGGCTCAAAACTTTTCAACCCTTCGGTCGTTTATTAAACTCCAAAGTTTTCAGCCCACCCGTGTATAGTTTTTTTTTTTTTCTATAATTTCTCGTTCCTTTTTAATTAAACTGTACAAAATTTGTTTTTTCCATTTAACAAGAACTATTGGTATATAAGGAATGCATGTGAAACTTTTCCCTTGGCTTTCTTTGAAACAGTTAATTATTGAATCTTATTTCTTGCACATATAATATAATATATATTAAGTAATATAATGTAATATATATTACTTATTATATTATACTAAGTATCCTGATGGACTTCTACAAATGAATAAAATTGTAAAAAAAAATTATTGTCCTGTCAATTTGGCTCTCCCCTTTTATAAAATTAACCCGTTGATTACGTTGTTTAAATTCTGCCATCATATTTTCTCGAAGAAAATACTAGAGGACACATGATTACAAAAAAAAAAAAATATTAATAAATATTAACGTAAAATATACAAAAATTATATTATTTAGAATTATTACAAAATAAAAAGGTTTGTAAGAAATTAAAAAAAAAAAAAAAATGATAGATAAACGATCGAGAGACACGTTTTGGTTGGATTCTATCGGCACGATGGTACGCTATTCTATTTATACGTCGTTGGCTCGTGCGTGCGAAGGAAACGAAAAGAAAAGAAAATAAGAGGAAAGGGAAAGAAAGGAAAGGAAAGGAAAGGAAAAGAAATAAAAAAGAAAAGAAACAAAAGCTCTAAGGAAAGCCAAGAGGAACGCACGCGTCGATGAGAAGCGAATAGAAATCGGGCTTACGGTCACTACACTCTCTTCTCTTCTAGTCTCTTCTTCTTCTCCACTTGACTCGAGTAGTACCCACTACCATACGACGACACAACCAACCAACAATACTTATACAACGCGTCACGTATTTCTTTTATCGTTTTCCCGCCTTTCAGAACAATTTTTCAAACGAGAATAACAGAAAGAGAAGAAGAAAAAAGAAAAAAAACCAACAAAAATCGTTCCTGCGTACGTGCGTTAAAAAAATATTTTTTTCTTTGTTTTATATAGTGCTCGAATTTTCAAGAAAACGTACTTTATTGATCGATCGTAACGAGAAGTGTGTTGTTTTTCTTTTTTTTCTTTCGTTGGTGAATAAAATATTATACACAAAATAAATTAATATCATATTACAAAAAATAAAGGTATAACGAGAATATATAAATCAATTGGAAACCGAGTAAATAATATTTTTAATAATAAAATAATGTTAAAATGTATTTTTTTTAATTACAAATTTGCTGCAACGTGTTAAAGATTATTATGCATAATTGGTCAATTTCTAGCTTTAATATTAATTTCGTTATACAATCCTACTGGGTGTATATGACACTATGCATCAGTTTTTAACATACGATGCACAATTTAAAGAATAAAAAATCGTCGAATATATTGTTAATTAATAATACAGTAAGTAGACGCATTCATTGAAAAACTTTGATAATAACAATAATAATAATAATAATAATAATAATAAGTAAAAATAAGGCGAGTAGATAACTTGAATGAACATAAATTAACACGACTAGGGACAGTGTGTCGTAGTGGTTTTGTGCGGTATTAACGATAGTCCCCTAACAAGAGTCGGCAGATAAACTCGTTAACTCGTACTCGTCGAATTTGCATATGAGCTGGCGAGAAAAGGAGTAGCGAGCTAACTCCTCGACTCTATCCTCTTATCGTTTCTTTAACGTAAAAGAAGGTGTAACGAAATGGTAATGGAAATAAGTGGGCTTTTTCTCTCTTTCTTGCACTTTTATTCGTTCATAAGATATTTATTAACAAAATGAAAGAAAGAATTATACCATATATGCGTATTGGTATACGAAATAGTTAAGTATATACATATATAGGGTGAAATCAAAATCCTTTTTCTAAAAAAGTAACTCTAAACTATTTATTTTAACATTTTTATATATTAAGTGTCACCATTCGTTCAAATTTGTGTTAATTAGATTCAATACGCGACTCGCGTCGTTTAATTAATCGATTTATTTATGACGGAACACAAACGAGAATTGATTTCGAAATTCTCGAGTGATTATTTTATCAATTGTTGTAACCGATCCATATCTTGTAACTTTTGTACAGAAGCTATCTAGGTAAAGCAATTTTTATCTCACCCTGTATATAGACATATTGTAAATAGATTAGATATTCTGATTTTTGCTTTTTGAATACATTTATAAATGTTGTTATTCCTTATTGGAATTGATAGCATTAGTTTATTAGTGAGGAAAGTTGTATAAAATACTCCCTATATCTCCTCTCTCTCCTCTTTCTCTTCCCTCTCAGTCTGTAAGATTTATTCACAAGATGGTGGAAGGCATGATGCCAATATATGAATAGAAACGGAATAGTGTATAAAACATTGTACGTGTATACATTTTCCTACTTACTTCATCTATTCGATTAATAATACAATAATCAATATCGGTATCCCTCTTTGTATTTTTCTCTTTCTTTCTCTCCCTTGCTTTCTCTATCTCTCTCTCTTTCTAGAAAAACGTGATTAACTAGCGAGAAAAAAAAGGCAAATAATAAAAAGAAAATGAAGGGTAAATGAAAAAGGATGAAATTAATGGTTAAATTTTGGTGGTGATTTACAGGTGGGGTCGCGTCTGGGAATGCGTCGAGATCCGTGCGCGTCGTGCGGACTTCCGGTGTTCCTTGCGGAGAAGCTGGTGATCGGACACGCTGCTTACCATCGTACCTGCTTCCGTTGTGCCCGTTGTAGGCACCAATTGATGCCTGACAATTATTACGAGACCGAAGAGGGCCAGTATTGCTGCGAGACCTGTCCCGACGAGGAGAGAACCTTTTTGTCGACGTCGACCTCGTCGTCGTTGTCTTTATTGGCGAATCGTCGTTTAGACAATTTTAGCGACAAAAGTAACGGAGAACAAGAAGACGAAGAGGAGGAGGAGGAGGAGGAGGAGGAAGGAAAAGAAGAAGAAGAGGTAGAAGTTGAAGGAAAAGAGGTTGTTGTTGAACAGGTTGAAGAAGTCGAAGAAAAAGCGAAAATGGTGGACATAGTGGATAACCGAGTTTCCGGTTACGGCCACCGAAGGTCTCTCAATGACGAAGAAAAAGCTGAACGGAAAATGGTATTAGAATTAAAGGACGATGAGGAAGTCGTTCTTGCTAGGAAACGATCGGTAGACGCACAGATACCAGATTTGATATCGCAGACCTCACGAATGAGGCTCGACTTTATGGCGAGTCAATTATTCTCGGAGAAAAATATGGAGAACAGAGAGAATGTTAATGATGATGATGATGATGATGATGATGATGATGATGATAATGATAATGATAATGATAGAACTATGAAGAAGATATTTTCAGGAGAAAATAATGAAGAATTAAGGGAGGAAGATGATGATGAGAAGGAGGAGGAGAAAAAGAAGAAGAAGGAAGACCTTCGTACGGAGGAGGAATCGACGAATCTCGATGACCGACCTCGACCAAGATCGTCGAGTATCGTAGATACCAAGAATTCCAAAGAGGAAGCCAACCTGCTTCCAAAATCGGAGTCAATTATTATTACTCATTCGAATTGCTCAGCGACGACACCTTCGCAAGATGAAACGACGCTTTCGCTAAGCGATTCGAATAAAATTCAAATACCGTCCCCGCCTGTTAGAGCACACAGGAGGAACAATGTGCCAAAGGAGGAAATTGTTAAGAGTCCCATAAGTGAGAGTACCGAGTATAGGGATGATAGTAGAATCCAAGATTCTGTAGTTGATGAGTCTGTTGACAGCGTTATTTTCTTAACTGCTCACGGAAATGATCCCTCCACCAGTGAACAATATCCGGAAGAATTAAATCCTTTTAAAAGCGACGAAGAAAATGAGGAAGAATATCACAGTGTTTCGAATGCCGCTCAAGATATTAGCAAGATCTCGACGAATCCTTTTGACGATGATGTTGCTAATGAAGAGGATGATGAAGATAAAATAGAGAAAGAGGTGCTTCCTTTGCCAGCATCGAAACCAACTGTTTTACCAGCCAAACGGCGTTTGATTGCACCACAGATCAGTCTCAACCCGTTCTCCAGTGACGAGGAAGATGAACATGAAAGTGATACGGAAAACAAACGAGGACTCGTGGTACCTGGTACAGTACCTATACCTAAGCCACGTACCATCACGTATGTTATTCCTTTTTACATTTTAAATGATGTACTTCATTTTTTACGACACCTTAATTTATACAATAAAGTTTTATCCAATTCTTGTATTTTTCAAACTGTAGAAGTACAGCCGAGTTAGGATTGACTCTACGTAAATCGGAGCTAAATCGTAAAAGCGTTTATGCATCAAACAGTTCCATAACTAGTTCGGAATCAACCTCTACGCCAGGTGGAACGTATAGAAAGAAAAAACCAGCACCGTTGCCACCGACGGCCAAAGAATTGTTCCCTTCCCCCGGCTATCGCGTATGTTTTATTTCCTACTTATACTATATCCTTAGGATTGATTTTATTGTTTATTTTTCATTCGTACGTTCTCTATATCATGTTCTTTTTCTAACTATCAGAGCGTGTCTCCCCGTACTACACCACGAACACGAAAGGCGAAGCCAGCTCCTCCTCCACCTATAGCTACGAGCACTCCTAATGAATCAGTCAATGCTCCTCTGCTTCTTGAAGAATCATCGATAATTCAGGCCGATGAAATCGCCGATACTCGTGTTAATATGTGGGAAGATCAGAAAAATAACAAGGACGAAGCTAATAGAAATAGGCAGAGCTTGACTAGCATTTCTTGCGTAGAAAGTTCACAATTTAAATCTTATCCGGATAAGAGTGTTCAAGGAAAGTGGAAGAGAAAGAAGGGTCCGGCGCCACCGCGTCCAACACCACATCGAAGAAAAGTATACACATCCTTCTAGTTTCTCAACTAAAATTCAACTTTTTCATTTCTTATTTTTGATTTTTAACAAAATGATCATTTCAATATTGTCCCTTTAATTTTATATTTGATATTTTTATTTTAGATCAAAGTTATGTCAATGAAAGATGTCAAATTAGAATTGGATGAAATAGAATTACAGCAGCAAGGGTTAGAAAGACAGGGTGTACGTTTGGAACAATTAATTAGAGATAAATGTGAAACTGGGCCTCGAGCCGATGGTAAATTTGAAAATAAAATTAAAAATTTGGGTTTATCACTCCATTAACAATTTGATGACAAACAAAATCATTCTTTTAGAATCTTCTCTCAGTATGGATGTCGAAGAATTAATTTTGGAATTATTTGCTTTGGTAAATGAAAAGAACGAATTATTCAGGAGGCAGGCCGAATTAATGTTACTTCGTAGGCAACAAAGATTGGAAGAGGAGCATGCTGATGTTGAATATCAAATACGTTGTCTTATGTGCCAACCGGAAGCTACAAAAACCGATTTTGATAAACAGAGAGAAGAAGCTTTAATACAAAGGTTTATATGAATGATTTTTAGATTAAATATCATCAATTTTATGATGATGTATGAAATAAACAAATAAATTTGTTCATCAGGTTGGTAGAAATCGTAGAAAGGCGAAACGAAATAGTAGAATGTTTAGAAATGGATCGTAAAAGAGCAGTTGAGGAAGATAAAAGTATTAACAAACATATGGGATTATTTGCTGGTAAGTATAATGATAACAATTTTTAAAGAATAAATCAAATATTAGTGTAAAATAAATATTTTGTAGAAAAGATGAAAAATGATAATTGTTCGTTCATGTTTCTATACAGCTAGAAACAAAAGCGACGCTACCAATAGTAACAATGATTATTCTCCTAATTCGACTAAAACGAAAAAAAGTAAGATAAAGGAGAAAATCAAAGAGAAGAAGTTTAAAAAATTATCTAAAAAAGATGCCGATAAGGACGTGGATGAGACTGAAGTGAAACTCAAACGCCATAACAAGCGGAAATGGTTTTGAGTTTATTTACAAATATTAACTGTTAAATATTACTAGCTATATTAAAAAATAGCAAATAAGTCAGTTATCGTTTAATACTTTTATAAATATTTTTAACGCAAGATTTGTTATTTATATAAATAGGAAAGATTACCATTAAAAAAACACTAGGAGTAAATCTAACTAATGGTTTAATAAAAAATGAATATATATATTTCTTACTTGATCGCTATGATAAGAAGACGAACGTAATATTCGAGCGTTAAAATATTTTCTCGTACACACTTTCATTCGATTTGATTGCAATTTTTTTTATATACCTTCAGTATCTTTACAGGTGCATGATTCGATTCGATTGAAATTGTTTGTTCTGGTATGTCACATTCCAGGTAGGTAAGATCATGCTTTCCTGTAAAGAAAATTATTATTAATAATAAAACGAAACTTTCTCAATTTGTAACATTTATTATAATTTATTACTAAAACTTACCTAATTGATCGAGAAATTTTTTTACAGTGTCTTCGTTACGAATAGTCGCGGCAATGATGGCATAATTATTAGACGTTAAGAAACTATTTAATCCAATAATTAATGAATAAAACGAAGTGCTTTCGTAAAGAATATCCGCGCCTAAGATGACGTCGTAAACTGTATGATCTTCCTTTGTATAATTTTCTATATCTTCCCATTTCAAATCTATTACTTTAACATCCGAATGATTATATTTGATGTGTAACTGCGTCCTATCATTTAACGTACAAATTTCATTAGATACTTTGTCTTGCAATACGGGTAGTAAATTCAATCTCACATTTTCACAAAGAATATCTAAAACACTTTCATGGCAATCTGAAAATACATATTGCTTGGGCGAACAAGCATTGATAATACTCAAACCAGTTAATCCAACTCCACATCCAAGTTCTAAGATATTTTTCCCACTAAATTGATTCCTATTTTTATAAGACCATTCTGCCAGATGTAAAGCACCCTATATGTTTGTAATATATTATTTGTTATATATATGCATATAAACATTTAATATATAATTTTAAATAATTTATATTAAATGCACCTGCCAAACGCATAAACCAGTTGTCCCTTTGGATACGATATTTATACTTTCTTTTAATGTTATAAATTTTAAATCACCATGTTTTTGTAAAAAGTGACGATAATGCAAATCCTTTCCAGGAAACAAAATGAAATTACAATACAAAGAATAAACGTCATCGTCAATCTCCTCACCATTTGAATCTAACTGTAAAAGCAATTAAAAAAAAAAATAGAATAACGCTAGGATCAAATAATAATTGTTTTCAAACATAAAAAGTATAAATTTATACCTCATCTATTAATAACTTTGTAAATGCTCTCTGATAGGAATATTTAACAGGATATCGTTTAATCAAAATATGATTCACTGTATTGTCCAGAATTTTCTTTTGAACGTCAATACTAATTACTTTTTCTTTTTCTTTCAATTTCTGGAACTGAAGAAAATAGCATAAGAATTATCTGACATTTTGACTTGAGATGAAAAATAATCATCTCTTTCTACCCACCACTTGTACGAGATTATTTATTGGAGCACAACAAAAAAATAATTTCTTTAAATCAAGAATACAGTCATCCATATTATTATCGTTTAAAACTAATTGAACGTGAATATATGGGTTAGAATATACAACATATATTTAAAAGTATTTTATTGATTAAACCTTTTTTGCTTTAGTATTCGTACACCATTTTAATTCATTTTTTTATTATTATTACAATGTTACTAATTACTATTATAAATTATATTACTAATTTTAAACACTAATTATTCTCTTCGTTTTAGAAACTACAAATTATAAAATTAAATGGATCAAAATATCATATGATTTCTTACAGAAGGACCACGAAATACTGAAAATAGAGAAATCATGGAAATATTTTCTAACTTCGTGCGACGGAAGTCATACTTCAGCCATTTTTTATTTTTATTTTTTTTTTGTAATCAACCATTTCCTCTGAAAACACAATAATTCGATATGTATAAATTATTTTATTGCAAAAATGTTTTCTCTACGTATAATATTAACATTTAATCGATTATTTGAGAGTTTACAATTTATCCAAAGCGCAAATATTTCGAATTTGCCGCGAAAAATATTGACGTATCAAAACGGTGGAGCGTATCGATATGGCGAAACATAACCTTCACTTCCGTCGCATACCACCTTAATAAATGCGTCCTCCCACTCCTTTGATATTTAGATTTTACGTTACTACGTAGAAAAGAGTAGTCTTCCATCTATAACAACACGAAGGAGAGAAAAGAACAAGATTTTGACAGTTGACAGATGTTTCTGTTAAAAGATAAATACATATTTCGTTTTTAAATCAAGCCTATCAAAATTCTTCAAATTATCGGTTAGAAAAGATTTTAAATAAAATTGATTTTTTTTCGACATTAACAATTTAGCGATGTAAAACAAATCCGTAAGCCGGTAAGAAGCATTGGCAATGCTTTTACCGCTGTTACGTTTCAGAATCTTCGTTGATCCAGCTATGTGTTACTGTTAAAGTTAGCTCGAAGGTACGTTATCATCAAATGTCAACTATTCATTATCATTTGTAATTTATGAACTTACGATATATGAGTTTGTTTTCGATGTAATCATATTTCTTGTTTTTCTCTAATTTTTTCTCAATTTCTTTTATAAAAAAAATACATTTTGATATCGTTATTGTATCAAACTTTTGTGCCAATAACATTATCATTTTCTTTCTCGATAAAAAAATGTTAATACTTTTCAAAAATTATAATCATTAATTGATAAGAGTTATTGCTTCTGAAATGTTATGTTTCAAATGATAAATTTAGAGTAACAATGTCCTCTTTAATAATACGAATAAATATAATTAACTCTTATAATTGAGAAATAATGTAATTTCCTATATTATTTATCATTGTAATTCAACAGGTTCATTACTATTCAACAATGGCATCGGCTACCGAACAGCAGCAGCAGCAACAACAGCAGACCACCCTGGAGTTTTATCAGGCGATGGCTGATTTTAAAAATATGTTTCCACAAATGGACGATGATGTAATCGAAGTAAGAATGTACATTTCAACGTACATACATTATAATGAATTGACCTATTTTGTTTATAATAAAATGTTTTTCTTAGGCTGTGCTAAGATCCAATCAAGGTGCCGTAGATACAACAATTGACCAATTGTTATCTATGAGTACAGACAACGAGAATGAAAAAATAAGAAGCGAATTAGAACAAAGTGAAGAATTTCCTAACATTACCAAATCTTCCAAATCGGATTCTAATAAATCATTAAAACATCTTCATAAATGGCAACCTCCATTATTAGGACCATTACCGGATACATTTCTTAGACTTCCTCAGCAATTATCGAAGGATACCTTAGACGGGGTATATTCTCAAGAAAATTCAATGTTGGAGGACGAAAGAATTGCCATGTTTCTCCAAGATGAAGAATTTATGGCGCAGCTACGTTGGAACGAAGACTTTCTTTCTACTTTAGAAAATGGTAATATAAAATGTACAAATGATTTATCTTACCATTTCGATTATAATTTCTAATATCTTTGCAGTACTGTCTATTATTTTATTTCTTTACAGATTCAAAGTTACAAGGTACTAGTTTGGAGAAGTGTAATAATCAAAGCGGCCATGATGATGAGGATTTGTTTAAAGAAAGATTAAGAAATATGGGTAAAGGTACGTTGAATATTATCAAATTAATACTTTAGAACATAATCTAACGTATCTTTTCAGTATCGCGTCGTAAGTTCGCCCAACTTACAAAAGTATTCACACGTAGCAAGAAACGAGGAGGACGACAATTATTACCTCCGACAGCATCGTGTGATGATCTTCTAGATCCGGAAGAATCGTCTAGACCGCAATCTTAAAAGTCATATAACTTAAAAACATAATACTTCTTGAGAAAAAACAAAATTATTTCATTATAGCTTGCTAGTTGCCACCCAAAAGACAAGCGTATACATAACTAACATTTGAGATATATAAATACATATATCTTTCAATAAATAATATTAAACTACAGTTATATTTGCAGGTGATCTGTATAGTATAACTTATGCAATAGGTTTAGTTTTAATTTACGAGAAAATAATAGATATACGATGATCAATTCTCGCGTAGGATAATTAAATTTAAATGTGAAATATATCACACTCGCGAAGATCATAGAATAACGCTAATTAAAAGAAGATTACATAGTAGTATCGTAAAGTAATGAATTAATTTTAAATTTATCCAGTTGAATACGCATAATACTAACAATAGTTATTAAAATAGTACACTATGGTACACACATTGATGATAACAATAATGATAGATGAATTACGTAAACGAGGAGATTTGTAGCGTTACGATAATGAAAATTTTTAAAACAAAATTATTAAATTTAAGATCCTATTTTTAGTTTTGGTAAACATTGTACCATATTATTTATAATAATGGATATAAATAATATTTCAAAAAGAAGACTTAATATTAGAAAAATGATCTGATTGATTTAAAAAGTAAATCAATTTTTGAAACCTAGATTGTTTTATATGAAATAAGAATCTTCTGTTTATACAAGTTTATACAAGTTTTATTTATATGAAAATTAGTAGAAAGGTTACAATATTGAAAATACTTTCTCTAATTATTTTAACTTGTATTTATTATATTTTTTATTGTGGCTTTTAATGTCTCTTCAAAATACGGACATTATGAACAATATCACTCGATATACAAGATAGAACGTCAGATATTATTGATACCATATATTGAAAATGATCATTTTATATCCATTTAATCGCGCGTTACATTGAAATAGTCATACGTTAATACTATTTTTTGGGAAACAAAAGGAAAATATGATGAATTGGTTGTGACTCGTAGTCATAATTCTTGTTTACGTTATATTATTACAAGAATGATAAAAAGCTAGTTAGGAATCTCCAAATGTAATATAGTCTAGTCATACAATCTAGCCACCATCTACATAATGACTATTACGGAGTGATACTGATAAATGTAGTATGTTTATATAAGCTAATATACATTACAAATTAAAAGATATCTTGGCATCTGTTAGAAAAAACACAAAAATAAATTGAATGTGATGCTGATTTGATGAATATTAATTTAAAAAAACAAACAAGCAAGCTAAGCCTTTGATTGTATGTGATAAAGAAATGAAAAAAGGGAAAAAAAAAGAATGAAAGAAGAATTATATAATGTATGGTATGTACACATTACTTGTGTAGATAAATGATAGTGATGCAATGCCGATAATGCTAATTCATTTAAACCTATAATGCTAATCAATACCTTGACTTTATTTGTTATATGAAATAATCTAGATGCTCTGAGAAAAAAAAAATATATATATATATATATCATATAGTTATTTTAAAAAGATGAATAGTAAAGGATTATACAAAATTCAAATATAGTTTGAAATAAAGTTTGAAAATTTTATGAAATAGATTGTTATAATACAGTGGCTGCTTATAAGGTTTTATTTAACTAAATATATAAAATATGAAAGAGAGAGTTAAACTTAACAATCAAAACTTAAGACTAATTGTCATCTTATTTTCTTTTAAAGAAACAGAGTAAAATCGATTTTAGAAATATTTCAAGTATTTCAATTGCAACAAATAACTTCACTATGAGTCCGGTTGTTTAAAGAACACCCTTGCACCAGAAAGGCTATAATACAATAACTGAAATTCAGCACTTCTTTCTCCTAAACGTTTCATAGTTAGTGCCCTGGTTTGTTGCAACTTTTCATCGCCACGATCGTCTTTATTTTCAGCGTTGATATGATTTTCAACAGTTTCAAACCAATGCAACGCATCTAATTCGGCGCTTTGATCAAGAAGTGCATTTATATATGCCACTCCCATTGCAAAACCGTCATCTGTAAAAGCTCCACCAGTTTGATTTCTTTTAAACATCTTTTCTTTATTTGATACCGCATTGTCGACGAAACTCAATGTCAACGGTGGTACAATAGCGTAGAATCTTTGCAAATGATGCCATTTAGGATCTCGAAAAGTGGATACGAATACATCAACGAGTAATTTAAAATAATGCATGCCTTCCGTAAAATTGTGAACCAAGTTTCCAATGTCATCCTCCAAACGTTTAGCCGCAGCCTGCGTTGTTTCGTTATAATTTAAATTCTTACACATCGTTTCAAAGGACATATTCGAACGAATATCCGGTAGAAACGAAACCGCGTTTGAGCTAGCATGTAATCCACCAGATCTAATCAATCGTACGTATCCAAGAGCATTTCCAATATGAGTTATCAATTGACGAAATTGATCCAAGTAACTTAATCCATCGGGAGTCATTCCCAATTTTCTTATTCCTTTTTGAAATTTTTCTGCTCTCTCGTAGGTGTATGGTATGGCTCCACTTTCTCGTTGAGATTTGATAAATCTTATATCTCGCATCAATCTGGATTTAATTTGTTCATCGAACATAAATTGCGTAAATGTTTGCAATTTAACACTAAGAAATTGATAGACAAAATTGACGGTAGTACTCATAATACCAGTTCCGTGAGTTCTTATAGAATTGGCTATATGACGAATACCGATGGTATTTAAATGTTTATTGTTACTCGTGTGTTCTATAAATGTTTGCGTATTCAAATTGTATAAATACTTGGATACAAAGACATGGATATTTCTCATAATTTCCAAAGCATCTACACCTTGCTCCAAAGTTTGCGTAGGCAAATGATTTTGTACAGTATCGAGATTTAATTTGTACTTAGCCAGAGCATGCATAGTTCTATAAGTTTTCCAATCATGCAATGCCACTGTCGTGAGATTATAAAACATATCATCTAGATAATGTTCGACAAACCTTTTAGCATATATCATAGTATCAACTAAAGGTAATGGCAATGAATGTACTATTCTTCCACCATCTTTAACACCCTCCAAAATCGGAATACGGAAATCCAATTCCAAGTGTGCATATACGTGAAGTCGTAGGCTTGTTTCAATTTCACGACAAGCTGGTTCTAATACCGTTTTAAGTAAATCTTCTCTTAAATCTTTAATTAGTTGTTCATTCGTGTCAGATAATTCTTCTTGATCTATAACGTTATCAAATGCACCAAAAAAATTTGCCAGATGACTGATGTTGATATTTTCTTGAATAATAGAAGAAAGATATGCGGGTATCATTTTCCTATGATGAAACAATACCGAATAATCGCAAAGTTCATCAACATTGTCTTGAAGTTCTGCAAAGATATCATAATTATCTAACAAAAATTTGAGTTTTATTATATCCTCATCTTTGAAAGTTTCCGTCAATTGACTGGCACACGCAAGTGCACATCTGACTATTAATCTTCCATCGGCGCTAATAGGGCCACTCATTAGGCGTATACTTAGTCCTATTAACGATAATGCATCAAGTCTTTCTTTGCTATAGCCTCTATCTTTTTGAATCAAGCCTTTTCTAGCTGTTACGAGTATGACTAAAATATAATAACTGAGATATTGTAAGACTTGATCTTGTGATCGCACCACAACTGGACCCAATATATAAAACCATGTTTGAAGAGATTTCTGTATTTCTATAAGTTTACAAATATGTTTAACCGTGTTACGATTCATAGGTTTGGCCAGATTAGCGTGCAGATTAGTTATAAAAGATATAATTTCTTTAATTTGTCCAAATAACGTTATTATATCAGTAAGTAATATACGCTTGTCTCCTATGTCAGAAATTTGAAGACTACCTTTCTTTAAAATGTTCTGCATCTCTAAGCACCACGTCATAGCTTTATTTATTAAAACATTAATGGTAACAGATAATTTTTGTGTTCTGTTTAAAAGAATTTTTGTACCTATTTGTGAACTAACAGCACTTCCAACTTCCTTTGGTAAGAATTCATGTAAAAATTTACTGGGTATCCAAATGATATTTCTAAATAATGTTACAGCGTAAAACTTTTTGTTAGTTTCGTTTATCCGCTTAACTAATTTCTTATCACAGATTCCAAATAATTTAGTTACTACGACGACACCGACGTTAGCTCTAATCCAATTTTTATTCAATGCAGCATTGTCGTTAGATTTACTCTCGACGTCTGACATCAAGTTTTTCAAATAATTAACAATTTGATCGTTCATAATCAGACCTTTATTTACATCCATTACATATTCGAGTGCTTTAAAAAACACAGTTTTCCCCAACAACTGTTCCTTCAAATCTTTGAGCAATTTATCAAGCATATTAAGTTTAGTTTCAGATATTTCAAACTGTTTCATATTACACCTTACGAAAGATATATTCATCTTGTACTTAGTACAATAACCCGATATCCACGGGTGCGCATCGATAATTTCGTCAAATATTACAAGAAGTACAAACAAATCGATGAAGTGTTCTATCAAAGCAGGCAAATATATCTCATGGGATCCTCTGGCCAAACTGCATAGCTGTTGCGTAGTTAATTGTAAAACTGTCATTATTCTATTTACAAAAGTTGATAAAGATTGAAGATCTGATAAAAAGCTAGCAGCGTTTTTTAGTTCGTTGTCCAGACTCTTTTCGCTTAGCGCAAAGAGTTTAGCATAGAAAGTATTAGCTTCTTTTTTTAGCAGTCTTATTTCTCTACATGTTCCTGCAACAGCAGCTAGTAGCTTAGACAAATCTTTGCTTTCCATTTCTACCAATGATATAATGCTGACATCTTCGACAGTTTGATAGACAAGTCTAATAGGACCTTCCATAAAATATTCCAATGTCGAATCATTTAACCAAAATCTATCGGCCAGTGTTTCAAAAAATTGTCCATACTTTCGTAATAGCATGGAGCCGGCAGCTTTGTATATGGTTTCATCTTTTTTCGAATTCCACGATGACGATTCAATCATCATTAGTTACAAAATTGTTTATTACTATTACAAATTTAAATATAAATCTATATCATTCGACTAAATACATTAATTATACTATATACTATTCTTTTTCTTTTAATTGTACACTTTTTTTACATACTTTGACACATAACAACACAGTTTTGACACATTACTACAAACAGTATTGCCAACTAATACAAACTTCAATTTAATCAAACACTTTCTTCCAAAAATACAGGTTTAGGGTTAAAATAAAACTTATCGCGTACATGAATATGTGTCTTACAATAAAAATGTGAAATTCTAGAAGACATAGATGTAAGTATTAAGTTAACATAGTTTTTCTTTATCTTATTAGACTTAAATCATTTTTCCAGTTATAAATTTATTTATTTAAATATAAATTCATTACAAACACGATATAATTTTAATATGAAATTTCGATAGGCGCAAATTTCCAATTTGGAATTTAAAAATTGAAATTCTTATTAGCCGATCACGTGATCGATATTATGTTATTTCATAAGTAATTGAATCGACTATAATAATAAATAAATTGATTGTAATATTATTTTCTTTTTCACATATGATCTTCGCGATTGATTGATCATTGGAGCACTCTGATTGGTTGTTGCAACCCCTCAAATTTACTTCACGCTGAAAATAATACAGACGTATATGTACGTTTATCGGTTAGTAGAAAAAATTTTATAACTTTTTATTTCTTACTGTCAAAGTGAAATGTTTATTTTACGAATATTATTCTATATTATTCGTATGTCTTAATAAAATCAACATGCAGATAGAAAGGTATATGTTTTACTAATATTATAACCTGTAGGTTAACCTACATTGGCATAACTTAAATTTTCCTCTAACATCTGTCAATTTATCGATGTTTTGTTTAAGTTTTTTATAAAATACGTTTCTATATAATTTAAAATTTAATTATATTGCATGTGTGGATATTATTTTTATTAAATATAACCAAAATTGTTGTTACAGATGTAAATACAAATACAGTGAGATAGGAAGGAGCTATATTTATTTCATCCATTAAAAGAAAAACATAAATAAAAGACTGATAAGAAAATATTGAATGTATTGAAAAGCCTTTATACTAAATTATTCAAATTTAGATTTAAAAAGTGCTTAGTGATGATATTTTAATGATAATATGGAGAAAACGTCCATAGGAATTTTATGGAAAGCTTTTATAAGAGGTTCCAATGAATCTCGTGAAATATTACCAGAAAAAAACAATTACGACTTAAATTTTCAAGGTGACGAAGCACGATTAGCTTACGAAGAAATAATCAAACAAGAGGGTGAAATAATTGCGACGAAAAAACCTACATCTCTAAGACTGAAAAATAGTAATGCACAGAGCATCTTGCATACAAAATCGCTATTGGATTCGGTTCAACAGAAAAAAACTCATGCGACTGATAATACAGTCATAAAAGTTACGATCAATGCCATATTGAAAGCAGTGGAACAGAAGGATTTAAAATTTTTACAGAAACATATTACAGTGGAGAATGTTAATGTATCGGACGACTTTGGTTGGACTCCTCTAATGTCGGCTGCTTATTGCGGTCATTTAGAAGTGATTGAATTTTTGTTACAATTAGGGGCGAACAGAAGAATAAAAGAAAAGTCAGGTCTTACAGCGGCGCAATTAGCTTTGAAAAGAAATCATTTGAATATAGTTGCTTTGCTGAGGAAGAAACATGATCTAACAAATATTAAAACTCCAACGGATAAATTAGAATTAACAGAAATATTGAAAAATTCTAAGGAAAGCATATGTAACGACGAGGATAATGTCAAAGACAAATTGCAAGAAAATACGCATTTTTATTGCGATGTATGTAAAAGAAATTTTCGAGAGACGACGGTGAAAAAGCACGAAGCTTCTACTTTACATATTTTTAATACCAAACCAAAACTGCCAAATGCAATATACGGTATATCGAAACAAAATAAAGGTTATCAAATGCTTTTAAATACTGGTTGGGATGAGGAAGGGGGACTTGGGCCATCCGGTAAAGGAATTAAATATCCAATTAAAACGACACTTAAAATGGATCGCAAAGGTTTAGGACAACCTGGCGAAGTAGAATCTAGAATAACACATTTTATGCCCGGTGATACCAATGCAGTTAAAAATGTTAGAATTTATAAGCAAAAACCATTGAAAAAGAGAGACAGAGAAAAGTTACTTAACAGAGAAGCTAGAAAAGAAAGAGCGCTTCGTATTGCATTGTCTTAATGTTTAAATTGCTTTTTACAATTTCAATAATCTTTATGTGAAACCTAAGACTGAATAGAAACAATGTATAAATTGTCATAAATACCGCAAGTTCATACTATTTCTTTCTGCTTACATGTTAGTATTTTTTTACTTAGGTTTCCGGTTATTCAATTATATTAATTTCTTTTTATCTATCTAGGTGATACAATATGAACAAAAAAAGGCTACAATGTTTGAAACAGTATCGAGAAGAGAAGCGAGTAAAGAAATAATTGTTAGTTTGTCAAGAATAAATGTCTAACTGTAAAATAACATATTGAATATATAGGAGATCAAGGTTGCAAAAGGAAGAAGAACGCGAAAAATGAGAATAATTAAATCGTTTTTACTTGATATTTTGAAGCGCTTCAATTGCGTAAGATCATATAATATAATTTATAAAATATTTACATAATATATTTTATTAAATTTTATAATTGTTATACCTTACATTTCAGATTAAAAAGATGTAATATTCAAATTAATATTCAATAAAGTGAAATATAAATAAATATCAAATTAATATGATGATAGAAAAAAAGAATATAGAATTATTGAAATTATAATAATTAAAATAAGGCTGCTTTGCGTTTATATTTAGGAATATAAATTCTGAAATATCAATAATAACGATATATATAATTGCGATTGGTATGCACTCTAGTGAGAACTAGACAAATAAGTATTTTGTCCACTTATAGAATTCTCGCCATACAACTACGTTGGTTTATACGAGGGGTATATCGATGTGAGGTTATATGAAAACAATTTAAATAGTTCAACTTGTAATAAATACAATTATGGTGTTATATCAAATTGCTTATAAAGTAATATTTTAATAATTACAATGACCAAATGTAATTAAATTTAATTTATCAAACTTTTTTACATCAATTTCTTAAAGAAAGAATTAATACAAAAATGACAACACGAGAAATATTAACAATTCAATTAGGCCATTATTCCAACTTTATTGGGACCCATTGGTGGAATCTTCAGGTATTATTACAATTTTCTAAACTTTCATCTTATTTCTAAATTAAAAATATTTCATCAATGTTTTACTTATGTTCGTATATTTTTTTAGGAAACCAATTTTTCTTATGATCCTAATAATCCTTCCGAAATAAATCATGATATATTATACAGAGAAGGAGAAAACTTCAAGGTAAAGAAACAGAACAATTTTAAAGGAATAACATAATTTGCTACTCTTTATTCAAAATGAAATATATAAATTCGATTATTGTTTATTTGGTTGTTTAGAAACAAGTAACGTTTTGTCCCAGGCTTTTATTAGTGGATTTGAAAGGAACAATGGGTTACTTAAAAGAAAGTGGAACTTTGTATGATATTCCACAACACGAAGAATTATCTTCATTATTATGGGATGAACAAAACATAGAAATAAAAGAAGAAAATCCATGTTCTAAACCAGACTTCATAGAAGGTTTAGATAAATCAGTAGAAGCAGCACAATTGGAAGAAATTGATTTAGAAAATTCAGTAAACACATGGGTTGACTACTTGGTGCCTAGATTTCATTCGAGAACAGTTAACACTATAAAAGAATACGAATATAATTCTAGCGATCATCAGTTTGATATTTATACATATGGTAGAAATTTATGGAACAAGGAACAATTTTCAGATGATTTCACTGATAAAATACGAGCTTATGTAGAAGAATGCGATTTAATGCAAGGCTTTCAAGTAAGTTTAAAATGTATATTATGTAATAGTAATTACAAAAACATAGATTAAGTATTATATTATTATATAAAAAAAACAGGTACTGGTTGACTCAACAGATGGATTTTCTGGGCTTGGTGTCTCGTGTATTCAACATTTACGAGACGAATACGGCAAAAGTATTATAACATTTCCGTCTATCGATGGTCGAAACACCGATTCATCTACATCAGACATAATTAAAGCAATTAACATAGCATTATGTTGGCAACAGCTAGAAGAACACTCATCGCTCTTTAGTCCTCTTTGTTGTGGGCAAAGTGGTTGGCCCCAAATAGGCATTCCTCGAAACTTTGACAACTTAAATTACCAATTAGAACTTAAATATCATACCAGTTCGATATTAGCAACTGCATTGGATACATTGAGTTTAAGATACAGACGTAAAGAATATGCGAATGTAGTTTTATCCGATTTATGCGCTGATCTCTCTTATAATGGGAAGGCGGTAATAACTAGTTTAAGTTTACCATTTCCAATGGCGGTAAAACGAGATTTGATCGATGTATTAGACGATTATGAAGGTTCTATATTGACAAGTTTAACACCTAGTTGTGATATATCAATAGATAAAAATATGCAAAGCATAGCATTGCGAGGAATACCGGAAGATAGATTGAAAAGACCGATGGACAAGGCTAAGAAACAAATGTCCAAACCTGCATACAGATGTTCGACCGTACACGAAATGATGACGTGTTATTTAGCTTATATATATCAATCATCGGCAACGTATTTGTCGACCATAGAATCGAGTCTCAAAATAAAACAACCTTATCCGAAAATTTTCAACAATAACGTTACGGAAACCGGAGATATCGCGGGATGGCCAGTCGGAGAAGGTAAATCCAAAATATTTTAACAAAAAAACGTATGCATTATTGTTCTACAACATTACTTTTTTTTCTGTAGAAGTACGATCAGTCCCAGTAATGGCTGGATTACACACTGGAAAAAATCTTGGATCGATGTTTGAACTTCTGCATAATCAATTAATGAGAGTACGAAGTATTAACAGGTTTCATGCATTTATCGACTCCGGTCTTGATGTAAATGAATTTCATGATTGTTGCAATTATTTGTTGGATCGTAAAGAAGCCTATGAAGATCATTATATTTAAGGCGTTTAATAAAATCGCTAATTTTGTATATTTATATTTAATACATAAGTAATACACCTATAATATTTAATTTTCATCATTTTTTAAAAACCGAACAACAAAACATGTTGTTTTTATCGTAAAAACGAGTCCTTTCGTTAAAACACTCGTATATGGGCATACGTATATACAGAATCTCGTAATGCGTTATCTTAAATATATCTTAAAATATGATCCTCTATAACAAATCGACCCCAGTGAAGATGGGAGTGGCAAGACACACCCTAGTAAGGCTATATAATACCCTATCGAACATCCCAGTACGTAAAAGTCCACTAACAACTTCTTCTTCAGTCACGTTAAAATACATCGCAGAAAAAGCTTCGTTCGTTGGATTTTTTCAAGAAAGTTACCACTTTCTTACTTCGTTCGTTTAGTTTTTCATTTGTTCTTTGAAATACTTGACAAGAGAATAAATTTCAAAAGCAAAACTATGGGGAATAAGGTAGCCACGTTCTCCGAAGACCAATTGGAAGATTATCAAGATTGTACATTTTTTACGCGCAAAGAAATTTTAAGGTAACCCTGCTCTAATCATTTTTATCACATTTACATATTTTTCTTATTTTTTTCTAGGATATTTAAACGTTTCCGAGAGATGGGTGATCCTGGAATGGTCCCACGTACGATGACGTCACAGGAAGCATCAACTTTACGCTTACCACTGTCTTGTCTTGCGCGTATTCCCGAACTCAAGGTTCGTATTAAATATATTCGTGCTATTAAAAACGAATTTATCCGGTACAATAACAAGAAGTTGTAAAACCAGTTATTTTTTACCTTCCTCCTTTTTTTTTTTTGTTCTTTCTCTCTTTAGGAAAATCCATTTAGAGAACGAATTTCTGAAGTGTTCACAAAAAGTAATAGAAGGCAACAATCAGAAGACACCGAAGGTATTTGTTTCGAAGATTTCCTCGAGATGATGTCTGTCTTCTCGGAGCAGGCACCGCGGGATCTGAAGGTCTTTTACGCCTTTAAGATTTACGGTACGGCCAAGTACATGAACCGGACTAACGAAAGGACAGACGGATCGTGAGAGTACTTCGAGGTCGATGTCGTTGTTCTTGCCAACTTGAAATGAAACAAATGCTTTCTTAACATTCAGTTACCAAACCGGATTTCATAGAATTTTAATATCAAATCTAGGTTTTTCAAATGACTCATAATAAAGATCGTGACGTAATCAAAATCGTATTTATTTCGTACATATTTTCAAGGACAACGACATCTATATAATTATAATGATCGAGTAGAAATAAATGATAAATATGTAATAATAAATCCAACAAAGTTTTAATTTTCTCCGATAGATTTCGACGAGGATGGTGTGCTGGGTGTCGGTGATTTAGAACGCACCTGTCGACAACTTGTTCAAAGTGGTCTAACTAGCGAAGAAGTAGACACTGTGTGTCAAAAAGTTTTAGAGGAAAGTGACATTGATGGCGATGGTGCTCTCTCTTATCTTGATTTTGAACACGTAGTGACTAGAGCACCAGATTTCATCTCGACATTTCATATAAGAATATAAATCTTATCTCGTTTGATCAAGGAAGAAAAAAACACAAGAAGAAGAAGAAATAAAAGTAGTTCGAGTTAAGGAAACTGATTAAATAGCAAGTAGTAGTAGTAGTAGTACACTGATTAAACGCTTTTAACGAGCAGCAAGAATAAAGACGCGTTCGTTTATAATTAATGGCGGCGAAAAAGCATCCTGGCTGGCAAAACATCGGCCAGTGAACACAGTGAACGTTATTTCGCAAACTCATGGGATAATTATTAGCTTGGTATAAGAGTCTGTACCAAAGAGATACTGCTATGTACCCTGTTACACGTTACAGGCATACTTTCTTGCACGGGTTCTCCGCGAGTCGCCCCTGTTGAGCAACAACGAGCAATGCTGGGTATAAGTAAGCAGGCCATTCATTCCTCCTTTATACGAGTATCGAAGACCAAGAAGGAAATCTTATATAGGGTTTAACGATTTTCAACAAAATTATGCGATAGCAGGGGGGGAGGGGGGAGGGGGGGGAGGGGGTTTCAAGATAGAAAATATTATTTTACAATTATACATTTGATCGATTATCATATAGAAATAAAACGATAAATTTGATTGGTGAAATGAATCAAGACGAGATAGAAAGAGAAATTTTGATCAATCCGGTTCTCCGAGTCTCTCTCAACGACTCAGAAGAGATAGTTGGAGCGTTCGGGAGCATCGAGAAGAAGGAATCGCGTACACGAGGGAAGGAGAAGCAAGCAAGCCGTTGTCGTCCCTTTCGATCGTGTTCTCTCTTTCTCTCTCTTTTCTTTCTCCTTCTCCAGTCGCTTCTGGTGCTGTGGCGGGGTCGGTCGTCTCAAAAAGCGGTCGAAATCGGAGATACCACCCTGTGGCACGGCCGGTTATAGTCGGCCGCACGGTAACTAACCGAGTCTCGAGACCAAGGCCATCCGGTCACTTCTCGTCCTCTCCACCAGTCTTGCTGTCGGAAGGCCCCTTTCCCCGTAGAAGCTTGCCTCATGAGGAGGAGCAGGAGCCGCTGTTTCAACATTTTCTCTCCTTCTTTATTTCTTTCTTTTCAAATATACATAGTACATGATATATATATATATATATATACTTCTTTGAAAATGATCTTTTAGTTTTACTTGCTAATTTCATTGTTATATCTAACTTTAATCTTATTCCATGCAATGATAATAGTCAAGAAGATTAAATAAACTCGGTAAGTGTTCTCTCTCTCTTTCTCTCTCTCTTTCTCTCTCTCTCTCTCTCTCTCTCTCTCTTAGTATCTGTTGGTCGTCGAGCCAACCGGCTTCCATGGCATGCTTCTATGCATTCTTTGGTCTCCTCGACGTGGCTCGTCTCGACAAGTCCAGAGCCCTCGGGGGCGGGCAAAGAGAGAGAGAAAGAAGAGAGAGTAGAGGGAGAGGAAACAGACGAGATGAGAAGTCAGAGAGAAGAGGAATGAGAAGGCAAAGATCGCGGGTGGACGACGAGCAGAAAAAGGGAGAGGTGCTGGACTCCAGCCGATGGAAGAGGGAGCTCAAGAAGTGGCGGAGGCCACAGATTTGAACCTGACTTTTACGTCGCGATCCTTACAGCTACAACTACAGACCCCAGCTAAGGCCCTGGCGTGGGCGATCTCTTCTCCTTCAGGGAAGAAAAAGAACAAGAGAAATATATGTATATGTATATACATATAACATATATATAGAGAGAGAGAAATCTCTGGAACCTTCACAAGGGCCTTAACCTATACCTCTGTCATTGACACCTTTAAGGAACAAGATTTTTCATTATTCTACATTATTTTTTTTCATCAAAGAAGAATTCGAACATTTCTGTTAACATTACTACACCGCTTAAGACATATCGTATAATTATATCCTATATGAAAGATTATCGATAATTAAATCGAGTCTCCTCGAGTAGAGAATTATCTTTCGAAGGATTTTGAACTTTTCCAAACCGGACTTGAAATATTTTTGTATCTCTATATCTTACTAATATACACACACACATATGTACGGACGCCCGCCTGTCCGCGCGCGCTCGCGACCGTAATATATGCGTGCGCGTGCTTATAAAAGATATAAAAGTGTATTCGCAAAGAGAGAGAGAAAGAGAGAGAGAGAGAAATAAAGAAAGAAAGAAAGAAAGAAAGAGGGAAAGCCGGTATTCGGATTTAACGCGAGTACATCAGCACTTAAGGCTCGAAGGAAACGTTGGAGGCGAATTCTTCGATAAATCATACCGGCGCCGGATGTATTATTTATTAGTTTAAATGCGGAGAAGAGTGATCGCCGCTTCGAAATTATCGAAGCGATTTGATCACTCGCGGTCTATACGAGCCTTGGCTGGTGATCTTGAATAGACTACATCAGAGAATGTACGCGTTAATAAAGATCCGGGTCAGATAGAGGAACGACAAAAATTCTCTCTCGTTTCTATGCAAATCGTAGGAGGAAGGAGAGAACATTAGTCTATCGTGATACCTCTATATCTATCGTTATATGTATTTGGCATAGTATATATATATATACGTGTGGAAGTACGCATGCGCGAAAAGATCCATTTACAATGACGTACAAATTCGATGGAACGAACGAGGCCGTAGCTCGATTTCACCGGACTCGCTTTACAGTTATACCACTTTGAACTAAGCAGCTCTTTTATCGGCCGATCTAAAATGCAGACAGAGAGTAAAAAAGAAAGAAAGAAAGAGAAAGATAGAGACTCTTTATAACCCTATCGGATTACGTTAACCTGCCGATCTTCGATTTAATCTATCGTCCAAAAACGGATATACTTCGTGCGTGACGCCGATCGTGAGAGTCGCATTGTTTGAAATAAATTAAGCTTATCCCTCCCGCGATGTCATCTAAGACTAACGGACCGTAAATGTATTCTCCTTTTACGTTATACGACAATTTTATTTTCATATATCTTTTCAGAAAAAATAAAAAATGATCCACGAGAAAGTGAGGTTGGAATATTTCCTTCCGCCATCTTGTTTTTTCTTTTTTTTTGTTCTTTCGGAAAGGGAGAGGGAAAAGTCAAGAAAACTTTCTTCATTTTTTATCGGTAAAAAATATAATCGAGATAGAAAGAAGTTGAGACAATTCTCTTGGTCGGCGCTTTTGAATGAAAAGAGAAAAACGTATTAGAGGAGGAGAGGACAATTTTCTTGATTATCTATCTCGCAAAAACATCGAAGAAAGAAAGGTTAAGATAATTTTCTTGATCGTCAGTTTCGAAAAAAACGTATTAGTGAAAGAGAGGTTAGAACAATTTCCTTGATCAATCTCTCTCTCTTTCCCTCTCTCAAAAGAAAAGATTCGAGGAGATGGTTAAGATAATTTTCTTGATCATTTGTTCGGTAAAAAAGAAAGAAAATAAAATAAAAGAAAATATCGAAGAAAGAAAGGTTAGCATCATTTTCTTGATCGTTTATCTGGAAGAAAAAAATATATATTCGAGTATGAGAAGTTAAAGAAAATTGTTTTGATCTGCCTGTAACCTTTAGCTGAATAGTTTCCTTGCTTTCTTTAACGATTATTATCAGAGACCTGTCTTATTACTCCTATTTGATTTTTGAATTACCAATTGCGTTGGTTGCAAGGTTGCATAGTCGAAATAATATTGGCACTCTTGCGACCACATATCGTGGTGGTTCATAAGGAGGCGAGAACGTTTATACGAAGAGAACCGTCTACCAAAGAGGGGGAGGAAGGGTTCCAAGGAGTCGGTTGGCCAACGGAATGTGGCTTGACCGGCCGGCCATCCCCCGTCTTCCTCTCCCGTGGACCCATCGAGAAAGAGTGGAAAAAGGAGAGAAGAAAAAGACCGACCAACAGAGAGGGAGAGAGAAAAAAAGATGATCGAGGAAGGGAAAGGAAGAGAAAGAAAAGAAGACAGAGAAAGAGGGTTCAATGGTGGACAGAAAAGGATGCAGATACGCGACTGGCCCAACCGCTTTCGGCTCCCTAATGGTCCCCATTGGGGTTGCTCGAATATTCCTTTGCTATCTCGGACATCTTAGCCACAGGATTCGTAATCCACGAGGGCACCATTTTTAACAGACTCTTTGAAATCTACCTGAACACTTACAGGTAAATCTTCTACTTCTATAGTTCTCTATTATACCGAATATCATTCTTGGGGAAGATTCAACAGTATACACGGTTTCAACATTTTTCATCTTCATCGTTAAACAAATAATCGTATTCGATGATTACGAGTAGAGAGAATTTGTGGAAGCAATCATTTTTCTTCGTAGCCTTGTAAAGTGGTCGAATTCTGTGTAAACTAATCGTTGTTCATATGACATGTATGTAAATACGTAACGCAGTGTACATACGCAGGTAGGATCGTATCGAACAAAGTGGCTTAACGTGTAAGCATCGTCTTTCTCGGGGCATTATAAAATGCTTAGCAGCAGCTTTCAGTATTAAAGTAAAATACATCGACAAAATAAAGTGCCATTAGATTCGTACGTACACGTTATTTCCATTCACGAGTTTACTTTTTCTCTATTATGCGTTTTAAACAGAATGTAATACAGTTGGGGTGAAGAGAAAGAAAGGGTGGGAAGGGAAAGAGGGGGTTGCTTCGTGTTCCTGTAGAGATAGGTTAAGTGTAACGATTATCGACAAGAAGCAAGTTTTACCTTGCATGCTGAATTCCGTAATATACCTTACAAGATCGATGCATAATTATGCATGCCTTAGGCTAAAAGTTCTCTTCTCATCCAAGAATATCGCAGTGGCGCGTGGATGCGTACCTTCGATGGGTATTCAAAATTCATCGAATCGTTTCGCACCTTCCTATCGAGCCTACGGGTCAATACGTAAACGAACTAATTCAGTATTCTTTCAACCAAGTACGTATGCATATGTTGTTGTGATTATCGTTTATGTTATTATCAAATATAAATTTTCAGTATTAAAGTCAGTACGTGGTAATTGTCTTGGTCCATACACGTGTATTTGCTAATTGTGTCTGTCAATACCACGTAATGAACGTTACTTGGTAATTTTTCAAGTAATTATCTTGTTACTGTTATACGTGTAGTAGATGTAAGCATACACTTACAAACGTATATACTTTT